TTCAGTTCGAGTCGAGCGAGAAGTCTTATTTTTCCTAGAAAATGTGATTCGTGCGTGCTACTGCGACAAGCGAGAGGCTTGAATGTAAAAATCTTATTTCTTAGTAGCGACAATATGTTTTATTATTTATTTTTTACTAAATTTATATAAAAATATTAAATTTATTACGTTAAACGTTGAGTTGATCACATGCCAAGCTGTAATAAAGGAAGTTTTAGTAAGCAAACATGCCTAACACGTTTTATTAACTTAAAATATAATGTCGGAATTTTGTAACACAATATCTTGGATATTAAGTTATAATCTGATGTAAACAAGTCGGGTAGAGTATTTACATAAATTTGTAGTTGTGATAATGAATGTTTTGTGTAATAAACTCGGTAAATTGTCTTTAACATGAATTTTATTGTGATAAGAATACTAAAATTTTAAGGTTAGGTTCATTTTGGCTAGTTTTAGGTTAGTTTTACTTCGTTTTTATCGATTAGGTTAAAATTTGGTGATTTTATGCAGTGCATGCTTCTTTAAATTAAAAAACTTCAATAAAAACTTAGACTTTGCAAGTTAAATTTAGTTTTATACGTAAAGTAAAGTTTTTAAAGTTTAATTAATATTCTCATTATGCGGCAGTGATATTTAAAATTTAATAAGCTTTCATTTTTAGCTTTCTTTTCGCAGTGTGCCGAACTGCAATATTTCAATTCCATCGTTTGATGTGTTCGTATTCTTTTTCAAAGGGAAAATATTCAAATCACACAAAATAACCTATAATTTAAAGTGGGTGTGCATGTGGTTGCAGCGTGTGTGTTAATGCGCCTTTTGTGTGTATGCCCTTTTTTCGTTTCGTTTCGCGTTCCTTTGTATTTACATCGCACCTAATATCACATTCAACCTCTGCCCGAATACACTTCTTCCATTTCATTTTGCCGGCTAACTTTTTGCACGCGCTTCGCGCGAATTTGCTGAACAATAATTTTTGCATGTTAAATTGCGTGCGAGGAAGTCACGCTCGACGTGCAAATTGGAAACACGTGTGAAATTAATTTCTGCTTCGACACTTCTGCGTAGATTTTTACGTCGGCAGGCAAACTTTTATAATGTACCGAGAAATCTAATTGTAGTTTATTGACGTGCATAACAAGTAACTAACAAGGATTTTAACATGAATTATAAATTATATTATGCAACGTGCGTAGAAAATTTAAATGTGGAGTGGAGATAATATTTTTATATTCAATTATATTTGTAAAATCTATGTATGAAGAAAAACAAAGTAGTGTTAGTTATATAATTTATAACTCAAGAACGGCTGGACAGATATTGTTGATTTATGATTTATTGGATTCCCCTCGGCTCAAAAGAGCAGAATAACTATTAAAATGTCAAAAATTAAAATTTAAAGACTGTTAAATAAGGGATGAAAGTTGGTATAAAGCTTCAATCATAGTTATGACTAAATATATTTATATTTTTTATATTTTTAAGTAAAATTAATAATGATGAACACAAATCAGTAAAAAATGTCATTGGCTTGTATAGAGTTAATTCGTAACTTTGATATGTTTGATTGGCACTTCATTATAAACCGCCTCAAAGCTCTGCCAGGACTCCGCATGATTTTTTCCGGTTTTAATGAAAAAAATAAAAAAGTTTCATTCGCGTCGCAAACAGAGCTTTCAAAACGAAAATCTGTCCAATTTTTACGTAATTTTTACTCTTCACAATTCTTTTATAGAATTACGTCCTTAATTAAAGTACCTGTCATCCTTTGCTCCTTTGAGTTTTCACTCTGTACCATTTTAAGTTTTTCAATTGACAAAAACCGAAGATGTCATAAACTGAAACCTAAAAACCCGACAAGAAATGATTCCTGATGACATCTGCGAGTATTTGAACAACGTCGGAACTTGTGGAAAACAATTACTTCCCCTGTCAGGTCCAAAAGGAAGTTGACACGGAAGTTCGGATCTTTAGTTTCCTTTGCCTGCCACGCGTTTGGCTTCGAATTTGCGGTCACGTGTCGAGTATAAAATTGCACAAAATGAATAAAAATAAGCCAAAAAGCTATTTTGCTGCGTTTTATATTTTATTAAAAAATATCTAACATTTCTGCGCAACAAAAAATTTCAACTCTTATTTTAATTTATAAAAAACATTGTTTAAGCATTGTTGAAGATAATTAAACTCAAAAATAATAATCAAATAACAAGCCACTCAAAAACACTTTTTTCGGCGTAATCATCAACCATTATGAATCGTTATGGGCCGTTACGGCTAGGAATTTCGGGGGAGTTAACGGATAATTAATGAAATTACAACATTCTCTACACCCTGTTACGCTTCGACACATAAAATCGATAATTACACTGCCATTACGTGATTGTTTACGATTTTGGCGCGTCCGCGCGCGTACAGCATAATCAACATAATGCCCAAAAGAAGACCATTGGGCCGTGTCAAATCCCATTAACATTTACCGAAAAGATAGATACAAACATTTCGACGCAAATTTGATTACATCTAAACACCGAAACCTGGCGGATTACATATAAAATGAGATAACACAAAATGGCGGCCGCAAGTGAACTCTACTCTGCGATTATGAATGAACCGCAATGCGAGGGTGTATGTACCTGTACCTGGGATGTCATGGTTTACGCATGCGACCACGAACATTTCGAGTTAATGAAATTCATGACGCGTGAGTCATCGCACTCATAAAAACAACGGATCAACGCGTGGTAATTTCCGTCCCACGCAAACCGCACACTGGGTGAAATCATTTAAGCCGTAGAACTTGGTTGACGTTATTATCCCGCAAAAAATAGGCGAATGAGTATGCGAGGATGAGATATGACTACGAGTATAACCAGGTGCGTTCGGAGTGCGGCGACCTTGTTGAACTTGCCTTACTTTTACTTGTATTTCGGTTATCCTCAAGAAGAGAAATGAAAATGAAAGTGGAGAATCCAGGAAAGAATTTTGAAATGTGAGTGAATATGCCACATATGAGTATAAGTAACGTAGCTATACTCGTATATAGGAAAGTGTTATTTTTCGCTTTTCGCTTTCCTTGAAGGAATGTGTTTGGAGTGAAAACGAGTTTTCTGAGAGATGGATTTATTATTCAAAATAAGCTGCGTGGGTTCAGAAAAAAATTTCATTGAAAAACAGAAGAAAAGGCATTTGCTTTTTATCATTAGTTTGAATTACATGTTTAGTGTGGAGAAAGAAATAATGTTTGGGAAACTGACGGGAAAGTTGTAAATGAGCATTAATTTTGCGTTTGAATGCACAGTGAAAGAAGTTAAAGTGTAATCATGCTTAAATATTCAACATTTTATAAAAATTACAAATGGCGGAGGCGTGATTAACAAACGTAACCTAACTTTTCTTTTGATATACGTAATTATCGTAATACTGGTACACAATAAAAGTTTAATTATTGGAAAAAACAACAAAAAACTGTGTAATTTTTTGTTATGTTTGTGAAGTTCAGCTACATTTAATATCTAAAATCATTTGTTATGAATTCATCTCCAGAAATGTATAAATTAAATATGTAGAAGAGTTCATTTTAAAAATATGCAGTTAAACTACATTCTATTCAATTTTTCACTCGTTCCGGATGCAGATGTCATCTGCATTGCTAAATTCCGTGCAAGCGATCAGAAGCGTTTGTCGCATACTTCATATTACACATTTAAAATGTCGCAAATCGTGCTCGGCAGCAATGCGTAACGAGTAAAGTTACGAGATCCAGATGTATAAAACAACAAGTCGTGTTAGTTACATCACGTATAACTCAAGAATGGATGCAAAGATTTTATGATCTGCGATTGATTGATTCGTCTCGGCCCTGAATAGCAGAATAAATATTAAAATATAAAAATGAAGACTTAAAGGGTGTTTAATAAAGCGGTAAACATTGGTATAAAGATTCCTCACCGTAGTAATTATAGCTGAATAATTAAATCCTGATGGCGCTAAAGCGCATTATTACCATTTCTTATTTCGTTAAAATAAAATTGATAATCCTATTAATAAAACTGAGGCAAACTGCGTTTTGAACAAGAAAATAAAACTTAATTAAAATTTTACTCGAAACCTCGCGACTAAAATCTAATATTTGAATAAAACATTCAAATTCAAATATAAAGATTACGCTTTTGTTTAATTAACGAGTTGCAAATTTCCAATTAATCACAGCTTTCAACTTGGAGTCAAGTTTAATGAAACTTTCTGAAATAGACACACACTATTCCTTAAACTGTGTCAAGATGACAAATTACTCGTATCTCCGCCTAGACAATATAAAAACTATAAACTCATTAACCAAATTCAATGAATAGTTTTAATTCCAACTCTTTGAATATGCAGTACACTTTTTCACTGCTTTCAAACTGTAATATATATATTATGGAAATGAGAAGAACTACGCGCAATAATAAATGTACTCAAGGACAAAATTTATGCTGACACCACGAAACGAGTAGAAAGATTTTTTGCGACTCGACTAAGACGCTAGATATTGAAGTTTATGAATTATGAAAATCGTGTTATCATGTATTACCCACGATATAAATTCAAGCCAAGTCGCGAAAGCCTTGAACTATTCTTCATGATAATATTTTGAATGTCGCAGCCGTCAGAAAATATTCGACTCATCAACTCATAACTGCCCGGCGGCTAAAAATGTTTCGTGCAGTTTCATGATTGGCATATAAAATTGATGATACATTATGTTGCATCGATTGCATCAAAATTCACATCGGAACATGCCAAAAACATGAAACTACGCCCACCAAAACATAAAATAGTATATTAAATATCAAGTGGCTAAACGAGAACTTTACTCACGGGCTTTACTGCGCAGGCGTAAGCTCCGTCCCGTAAATAATACCCGTAGTTAATGGCTATTACACACGTCTGGTCGTCCGTATATAAAGTACCCCTTTTTGTGTCTAAGAAAACGTGGAAAAAGTGACGTTTTATAGGTGGAAGTAAAAAACAATTTTATTGTACGTTACAAAAGTACATATTTGGTTAATGCCTCTTATATAGTTGGAACACATAATAGAAACGTATAAAAATATGAAATAAATGGCACGTATTCGCAGAATTACTCTTACTATTAAATTAAACAAAGTTTTACTATCGTTACCATTATAATATAATGAGAAATTATCTTTTGATGCTTATATCTCCATTCCAAGCCATTCAACCTTAAAATTATATGGCAATTACATTCCTTGTGAAGCGAATCATTAACTAATTAATTAGCGTCTACATTCCAGCGATTCATGTTAGTGAAAAGGCACTTAATGGCACACAAGTTCAAGTTTTTCCATTCCAGAGAAAATTGTGCCAAAAATAGAACATCATCAAAGTTCCATTCGTGTTTCTTTCGTTAGAGAATCTTCATCAGCGTGGTTGGGCTGATTATCAGTGTCGTTGTGAATGATTTGAGAGTCCTCGGTGTCGCTTATATAGCCCTGTTCGCCGGTATAGTGGGTGGGATAGAGCAGGAGCGGTGCGGCGGAGAGTGCGCGCAAATCTCGCTGCGGGTAATGAATTTTCCACGCGTGTTGCGGATGCTTATCGAAGAGGATCGGAAGATATTCGTCGACGGGCAGTAGCTTGTCGAGCGGTTGAGCGGCGAGTAGTTTTCGCGCCCCGCGCGCCGTCAACGCATAGCCTAGGGTCCAATAGGAATAGCCCACTTCAACTAGGTATTTGGCGTTCACCACCCACGGCTCGTCGCTCTCTTGCAGTCGCTTCCGACCGAAATAGCTGCAACCAAATGAACAAAGTTGCCAAACACGGTTAAAACTTGAATGCAGCACAACGTAATCCATTTTATATTAAAAAAGAAAAAAGTTATACATACACCAGGTCCCAATCAGGAATAGTCTTTAATTCATCCATTAGTTGACGAACCTTGATGGTAAAAAACGACTCGAATCTCACATCGTCTTCCATAACCAGCGCTATCTGATGACCTTCCTCGACGATCTGAAAATAGAACTATGAATTAAATGCGCAACACACGAGTAAATAAATCCTCATGTGACATTGCAAGATGTCGTAAATCGAAGTGAGGATAAGATACAAGATTTCGATTGTTTGCGGTACACAAGGCGAAACTAGTGCGGAACAAATGTGCGAGGACTTTAATTTATGTGGGGGGTTAATTAAATTGCCATGTTAGCAAGAAACACGAAACAAGCAAACAAGCTTGAGGTTTCTCGTTTAGGAAGACAGTAACACCAAGGAACAGGAGGTGCATATAAGTGTTTTAGTGCAACTTAGCACAAGTATAATGAACATTGTTAGTAAAATAACTGTTTGAATGAAATTTAATGAAGCTTCTTCAAAGTGTATAATTACTTTTAAGTAGCAAAATAACGGACAATTAAAAGTATTTAAATTTTACCTAAAGGGTAAGGTAATTGTCTTTATATTAATTTATTATTAAGAAAATGCATATTAAAATTTATTCGGTTCTTTTGCCTAAATAGCTTTTAGTAAAAATTTAAGTAAGATGTACTTTTCTTATTTCACACCCTTAAAGTTATTATTTCCGATCCAAAAGTATCCTATGTTCTTCTCAATACTCTTGAGTATATGTGTACAAAATTTCATGATGATTACTTGAGTAGTTTCAGCATGAAAGCGTAACAAACAAATAAACCCACTAAGAAAAACCTAAAAATGAAGCTTTACGCTATTTTAACACCAAACTGAATGCATTCTTGTTGTTTATTGCATGAAATCGAAAAATTTCATCTATTTTATCGCCTCTTCGCATGCATTTGAACCTAAATAGACTTTCAATTTGTTTTACACACTTTCTCGCACCGGCAAAAGATTTAATCGCACGAATTGAATTTCCGACACGAACATCCAATGCATATTAAAAAAAAAAACACTCCGTATACTCACCCTCTGCCAGATTATGTAATGGCTCATGAAGCAGCCGATCTCACCATGCGTCATTGGCCTGCGAACAGCATGAAGCAAAAACTTTGCCAATAAATTATGCGTTTCATGACTTTCCGCACTTGTTACCTCTTATGATAAGGATCCGCGTACTCCGGCAGAAACGTTATAGACTCAAGCAGCGCCTCGCTGAGATTCCTGTAATTTCAAACACACAAACTTGTAAATTCACGCCATTTTAAACCGGCTTTCTTTCTCCTTCCAGATGCACAATCCAGCAGGATGATGAACGACTGGGCGAACTCCACCAACAGTTACTACTACTACTATAATTTCAGCGATGATTATCTCAAAAATTTCACCGGCACGAACGGAACCTTCCTTCCGGAAGCGGACGCGAATACATTCAGCGCGCTAGTCAGATACGCCTTGCCAATCCTGTTGATATTATGCCTCGTCTCGATAATGATCAACGTGCGAGTACTGATCGCAGTGCGATGGATCCGTCGGCCGTTGTCACCGACACTTCACATCAGTCTGAGTCTCGCCGCCGCCGACGCCTGCACATCGACATTAATCGGTGTCGGTTTGGTCATCAACAGCTACCTGCCACACCTGCACAACATCGAATTGTGTCACATACAAGTATGGCTGGAGATGTATCGCCTCAGTGGTATTATCATCACAGTTTTCCATCTGCTGGCGTTGAGCATCAATCACTGGCTGGGGATACTAAAACCATTGCATTATACAACAATCGTGACATCGAAAAAGATAACTATCGTCACGGTGATGTTATGGGTGGTTCCAATCGCGTTCTTCATGACGTACTTCCTTACCGAGCGGAACTTCTGGCAGACATGTCCAATTACTGACAATTCCTTCGACAAAGTCAAATTCCGAATTGTATTCATATCGTTCTTCGTGGTGCCGCTCATCATGATGATATATTTCTACTCGCACATTTTGTATATTGTGCGCAGGCAGCAGAGAACATGGGCGACACTGTCGCGATCTGGAAGTCAGCGTAGTCGAGGGATGACCAGGGCCAGCACGCAGCAGCGACGCACAATGGAGGGCAATGTAAAAGCTGTTTATACAACATTGTTGATTCTCGGCTCGTTCCTCGTCGGCTGGCTTCCAGCCGTGACGATTTTCGTGTTGATTTGTGCGGATGGTTGCGTGTTTGCAACGGACAAATTCGCGCAGGAAGTCGGACTCCTGATGCAATTCGTCATTGGATGGCTGAGCAACATATTGATTATTTTAAAAACTGTTGCTAATCCGATTATCTACTCCGCCAGAATGATTGAAATTAAAGTAATTATTATTTGATAGTAAAAATTAATTTTCTAAAGCGTAGATAATGACTAATATTTGATGTCTTTTCTTAGGACGGAATGCGTCGGATGGAATTAGCCCTATCTCGGATGTTTTGCAATTCGAATCGTCGAGATCGTTACACAACGAACCTCCATCAGCCGCTCAACTTCGGTTGTAGTGCGGGGAGCGGTAATGCAAACATGACGGCGTTGTGCCGCCTCAACGGCAGCGTCACGACGCGCCGCAGCGGGCGCTCAAATTACCCAAACACTTTGGTGTAATTAACAACAATATCCTCTTAACGCCGGACGGGGACGAAAAAAAATACCTTGGAAAATGGTCCAGCTAATACACCTAGATTCAGCTGGTATAGTCTCCGCAACAAAGGCGGGCATTATTTGTTCTTAGAAACCATTCCTACGCGAATAAACAAAAACAACCTATTGTATTGTGATTAGTGGCGTAGCGTATCATATACGGAACCTTAAGATCCAAAAGTTCCCTTTCTTGCGTCGCAAAAGACAAATTTTTAAATAAATTTGAAACCTCTTTGATCCAAATATTTGAAAATTAAACCTGTTTCCTCATGAAAGGTGGGAGAAGAGGGTCCAGAAGTCTTTATGGTAGCTACGCCACTGATCAGGAGTATCACGTCAACATGCTGTATTGTTTACATACATCATATTATAAGTAAATTATTTGTATATTTTTCAAATGGCGATCAAATAAATAAATATTTATTTTATAACACCGTCTTTACAACGTAGGAGAAAAGAGTAAAGGACAATGCAAATTAATTAAAATTTCCGTCCATAACAATTAATGTTAAAACATTATCAATGTCGTAGATATTCACAATTTATAAACTATGCAACAAAAAAGAACGTACGTTGAAAAATAAAACATGTGGCGCCATTTTATCCTAGAGACGAAAAGGAAATACCAACCGGAAACTAAAAGCGGAGTCGATATGCAGTATAAATGATAAAAATACCAAATGGAACAAGTAGATTTTAAAGAGAAAAAGAGTAAAGGAAGAAAATCGAATTCCAGCAACATATACCCGCGAGGGAAAACGACTGCTGCTCGCGGCTTGAATAATTTCCACTGACAATACACCGCTGCATAATATATTAGGCTATTTGCCGAAAGCGATGACGAAATCTATCTTTATCAATGAACCTCAACGCCTTCCAAATCACCTGTCACGACCGTCACCATCTTGAATCACTAGCATAATTCACTGCTCCAAAATTAAAAAAAGGATAAAAGTAAAATTGTACTCACCTTCCATCAACAGCATCAACAATCTGAACATCCAACCCTAGTTCATCAAAACAATGCAACATCCTTTCCCGTCTTTCCGTCCTCCTAGCCAAGTTAATCATATAGATTTCATCAAAACCCAGCTTTGACTTCACAGGCAGCCTGACAAAGTCACCAAAGACATCGAGGTTCACCGGCAACGGGTCGCTCTCGACCAGGACCTCAAGTTTCAGATTTGTGAGCTGCATTAGATCGTGTTGCAGAGTATCATCGGCCTCTAACGGCACCATTATGAATCCGTACACTTGATCGTTACAAACATGTAAAGGGATGTTGTGCGTCCGGGCGGATATCGCAAATGTGATGATGTCATCACTAGGCCCTGTATAATTTTCCACTTTTTCCGGCATATAGGTCAAATGGTCAGAGGCCAGACTGTTTAGATGTATCAGCACGGCGGAATGGATCATCGGCACGTCGAAGCATCCGATTCGTTCACGATTCAATACTGGTTTGTAGTCCTCCGTGCGCTCGTAATAAAAGTCCTCGGTCATGCCGTGCCAGAAGTTTGAATATAAACCGTCTGATTTCAAAAGTGGGGCAACCACAGGGAGGTTTTTGGACAGCAGGGAGTCGAGCGTGTTGGGATTAGTTAGGAAAGCATCTGCGTCTAACATCTGGAACAATGTAATTAAAACTGTGAGTTTAATAAGGAAATTCGTGGTCCAAGTAATATCTAAGTGTCTGAAGCAGATACAAGCAAGTGTAGTCCGAGTTATTAATTAATTATTAGAAAATTACAATTTTCGTTTAGTAATCTGAGTTTATCTTGATAAATAATAAAGTTTTGATTGTATTATTGTCAATAATCTTCTAAACATTCAATTTAATCATTATTATCCGTATATAAATATTGCGCAGGTGTAACAAAAAGTTTTGTACATCTCCTTGAATGATTAATGAGACTTTTTGTCTGTCGTCCTTGTATACGCTTAGTTTATGTAATTAATTGGATGAGGAAGTTGGACGTTACGATTAGAAAAGTTTAAACGCGGTTGGAACATAGGCAACCCAATATACAACACACGTATAACAGCAATTGTAAAGTACATAATTGAAATGTTTACATACCAATAAATAATCAGCCCAGATTTGTCGTCCGTAGTTTAAAATCTCCTCTCTTAACTGAATAATGTGATTAAATCTTTCATCAGTCCAATAACCAATCCCTTTCTGATCTTGGTTCACTGATTTTTTTCCGTTCTTCTCGAAACTAACTTTTACATTATGATATTTATTTTTAACACTACTCAGCCACTTCTTTAAGATTTCTATTGAATTATCTACATTATCATCACTTTTTATCCTGTAAAATAAATACGCGAATTATATTTTTGTCCCTGTTCAATATTTTAAATAAATTTAAGTCATAAATAAAAATAAACGCAAGTTTAAATAAATACTATGAATTAAAGTATGTATGTCATTACATACCATAAAGATATCCGCTGTTTCGGATAATCCAGACGCTCTAGAAGCGTTAGGAAATACGGCAGCGTGTGCGCTTTATTCCGAACTAAAATCCCAATTAAAACCGCCGGTCTTTTCACTTCACTTGCACTCCCGTTTCCATTACGCAGTAAACACAGAATTAAAACGTGTACCAGCGCATAAGTTAAAATTCCGAGCTTCATTTTAGGCAATTAGCACGCGTTTCAGTTAATATTACTTAAAACTAACTCAAAATAGGCATGAATAATGAGGTTATACTGAGCGATAGAGATAAATAGGGACGATATGTACCCCGGTTTCGATAATGAATATAACAGATCATTTGTTTACGTTCGGGCTGAAACGACCGTGAGGCTGGGTACGCCGAACTTGCAAACGAAACTGAAATGAAATGAGATGCATCTGTAGACCAGCGAGCAAACAGCGCAAAGCAATGCAGTCAGCTGATTGCCGCTGGAGACATGTGTATGTGAACCAGACTGTTGCGCTTTAAATGCGACTGCACCCAAGTATAGAACAATTCAATGAATTAACGCCGGAAGTTTTAAGTTTCATGGGAAACTACTGACACTACACAAGCATAGCACAAATAAGATGAATGTTTTCACTTGTACAAATACTATATGTTTATATTTATAAAATATAAATTTCTTAGCTGACTCAGTAACAAAATATATAGTGTATAAAAATATCACTCAGTCTGGTAAATGCCCTGATCATTAGTAACATCAATCTTTGGACCAATTTCCAACTTCTTTTTTGTCTTTTTACTCACAAAACTCAAGCTAGACTTATCAAAATCTAATGGCATCACACCCAGATCGCCGCTGTAACGATTCTTACAAACCTGTAAATACTTCTTGCCTTTTATAGAAGCCAGTCGCTTATCTTGAATAATTAAAATGTTGTCGGCTTCTTGCGAGGCTTTGGCACCGCCGAAAATTGAACTCATCGTCAGATCTTCCGCATCCCGCTCTTCCTAGGATGAATAACTAAAGTAACATGACAATTTCTTCGCGTAGCAAACGTTCGGAAGTTCGCTACGATTAAGTCCTGCTTCCAGAACCTGTCCATGTTTCTCGTCTCTTCACTCATACCCATCATAAACTGCAGGTTGTCAATGATGACATGTGAAATATCATGCACATAAACAGCATGTTCAATAGCTTCCATTACAACTTTGATCGATTGTTGGCCGTGAAAAGTCATATAGTAAATAGGAAGGACTTCAAATTTATCAGCCCAGTGATCGTACTGATCTAAATGTTCGTCGAGAGGAATACCCGCCATTTGTTGCAACATTGTGCGTGCTAAACGCGCGTTGCGAATTTCAAAACTGCCCCAAAGTGTATTCACACCTTGCATTGCTAAATCCAGAGAATATTCGCTTATGAAAGTTGTTTTTCCGCTGCCTGTTGGGCCAGTGAATACTGTGAGTTCGCCGCGTCGATGGCCTTTGATTATTCGATTTAGTGTGGGAAAACGTGACCATTTTATGCCCTGCACACGGTCGATGTTTTGCAGATCTGAGAGGACATCTTCACGCAGACTCGCAAACGTTGTGATTGATTTGTGCCACATTGGTTGCGCGGATGAGATGAGATTCTTGAAGTCCTGCAATGTTTCCGGAACAACTTCCATATTCCTATAGCAAACAATTATGTTTTAACAATTTAATCCAACTTACTTAGTAATATTTCACCTTATAAAGGAACATCTTCGTTCTCCAAGCTTCTTAGAAAAATTCCTAGCTGTTTCCCACGCGGAGAGATCATTTCCAAACCATAGAATCAACCTGACAAATCGATCAAACGCGGGTAAAACGTGCAAAGAGAGATTTGCAAGTCCATTTGGTAAACAGATAACGTGATATGCTGAATTAGCATTGACAAAAGTGAGAAAATCGCCAACGGTTGCAACTACGATTGCAGTTGATGATGATTTGCTGCCTCGATGGTATAAAATACCACTTGATGCTGTGTGTCTTAAAGATGGTTCGATTGAACTTTTAGCATTCACTCTAATAACTTTATGGCCCACAATGTCATATGCAGAATTATGAAGTGGAAAATACATACTGGTGTGGGTGATGTCCACTGTTACACCCAGTGTTATCATTAAACTCTTTGGAATTATGTCCTAGAACAATCAAATTAATAAATAAATCACAAAATAACTATAAAATCTTTACTGGCAGCTCAAATTTCTTCAATATTTGCTTGAAAAGAGCATCATCAATGTTTTTAAAACTTATTGTATTGTTTTTCAAGTTTCTTAAGTACTGTGTAAGTTTGTTCAGCTCTTTCACAACCAGTGGATCTTTGAATTTGACATTTTTGGTGTTGCTAGATGTGATGTAGGATTCAATATCAAACCAGGTTCCTGTATGATGACATGTTTCACATGTGAATGATCCTGAAGCAAAGACATATATTAAAATAAACTATTTAAAAAATAAAACAAAAATTATTAATACCTGTTCTTTTATTAACAAATATTTTTGTTTTATCTATTAGACTCTCTTTTTGCTTCTCACACATAGGACAACTAATTATAAAATTAGTGTAACCCTCCTCAAACTTCATATCATACTTCTTAAACTTTGATCGAATGGTGGAGACTGATACTTCTGGAATATCTTCAAGTCGAACATCCTTGAAACTTCGAAATTGAATATGTTGTACTTGATGGTTGGGTTGAGTGTTGTTGACGTTTGTTTTGGTTGTTTTATATAATTTGTAGAATGATTTGCAGTATTTGTTAACGATATTGAACGAATTAATAGAAAACATTGTTTTGAAAACTTATATTCATTATGAAGACATTGAATCATGTTATTGTCATTTATCCTTTTAACTTAAAAGTTGTTACAAGTCTTTGAGAATCACGTAAATCACATGTATAAATGCAAACATAACCTTACAGAAGTTGACCGTTTTTCACCTTAAAACTCGAATCGTTAACATACAATGCGTTCGTGGATGAAATTTGAATGAATAATCGACTGAATCGATTGAGTAGCCAAAAATTGGTTAATTTGTTGATTGTATACGGTAGTTGTATGTTTTCAGAAACAAAATGTTGATTAACTCAAACAATTACTCTTAAAAGAATTAGATTTCATTGATTTTGCGACGATAAACGGAAATTTAATAAAATTAACTATTTCTCATTATGTTAAACGATATTTACTATGATGTACAGTAATCAATTAATCAATTTGATTGACAAGAAATAATATTTTCATGATCATGCATCTACTATTAAATTTGAGCTTTTAATTAATGTAAATTATTGTTCTAGAACATTTTTAGTTTACAGAAACCTAAATAAGTAGATAGTAAATGTATATTTCTTGTTTTTTTTTCATGTAATGGCGGCCATTTTAATGGATAATCTATACATGGAAGTTGCAAACTCACTACAACTCATGTTAAATATAATCATAAACACACATTTTCAAAACGCAAGATGTGTAATTAAATTTGAAACACCTGCTAACGATTATTTCCTCATTCATTTAAATTCGACACTTCCACAATTAGTAAATCCGGAAATCTGTGTGCCTGGTTGCGTTAATTATATTCTATATGATTTATTACTAACCAACCACAATTATATTTACAAATGCCTTTTTGACAATAATGATAATGCATTTAAAGGCATTATTTTGTTAAAAAATGATACAATCAACAATTATAAACAACCAGAGTTTCGTTTTCAAGATGTTAACTTTCGTATTTATGCTGCGAATGCAATTTTTATCGAAAGAGTATACAATGAGTTTATCATTTATGCTTTTGATCATTGGGAATTAAGGGAGATAATTATATTAAACCGATGGAGTATTTCAGATAAAATGTTTCAAATGGGAAACATTAATGATTTCTTTTTGGATAAACGAAGAAAACAAACTGGAGGCCGTTTAGAAGTTGGTGTTTATCCTAATACTTTTCCAATGACTTTCGGATGTAACATTTTTAACGATATTTTTATATTTATTGTTATTTTGCGTATATTTTAGTAAACGCAGTTGGATCCGAAGTGAAAATGATGATATTCTTTTATTTGTTAACGATATTGAACGAATTAATAGAAAACATTGTTTTGAAAACTTATATTCATTATGAAGACATTGAATCATGTTATTGTCATTTATCCTTTTAACTTAAAAGTTGTTAAAAGTCTTTGAGAATCACGTAAATCACATGTATAAATTCAAACATAACCTTACAGAAGTTGGCCGTTTTTCACCTTAAAACTCGAATCGTTAACATACAATGCGTTCGTGGATGAAATTTGAATGAATAATTTGACTGAATCGATTGAGTAGCCAAAAATTGGTTAATTTGTTGATTGTATACGGTAGTTGTATGTTTTCAGAAACAAAATGTTGATTAACTTAAACAATTACTCTTAAAAGAATTAGATTTCATTGATTTTGCAACGATAAACGGAAATTTAATAAAATTAACTATTTCTCATTATGTTAAACGATATTTACTATGATGTACAGTAATCAATTAATCAATTTGATTGACAAGAAATAATGTTTTCATGATCATGCAACCACTTATTAAATTTGAGTGTTTAATTAATGTAAATTTATGTTCTAGAACATCTTTAGTTTACAGAAACCTAAATAAGTAGATAGTAAATGTATATTTCTTGTTTTTTTTCATATAATGGCGGCCATTTTAATGGATAATCTAAATATGGAAGTTGCAAACTCACTACAACTCATGTTAAATATAATCATAAACACACATTTTCAAAACGCAAGATGTGTTATTCAATTTGAAACACCTGCTAACGATTATTTCCTCATTCGTTTAAATTCGACACTTCCACAATTAGTAAATCCGAAAATCTGTGTTCCTGGTTGCATTCATTATATTCTATATGATTTATTACTAACCAACCACAATTATATTTACAAATGCCTTTTTGACAATAATGATAATGCATTTAAAGGCATTATTTTGTTAAAAAATTATACAATCAACAATTATAAACAACCAGAGTTTCGTTTTCAAGATGATAACTTTCGTATTTATGCTGCGAATGCAATTTTTATCGAAAAAGTATACAATGAGTTTATCATTTATGCTTTTGATCATTGGGAATTAAGGGAGATAATTATGTTAAACCGATGGAGAATTTCAGATAAAATGTTTCAAATGGGAAACATTAATGATTTCTTTTGGATAAACGAAGAGAAAACAAACTGGAGCCGTTTACGGTTGGTGTTTATCTAATACTTTTCAATGACTTTCGGATGTAACATTTTTAACGATATTTTTATATTTATTGTTATTTTGCGTATATTTTAGTAAACACCAGTTTGGATCAGAAGTGAAAATGGTGAAAAAGTATTCTTTGCATTTCATTGAATATGGACATTTCAGTATTAATCCACTGGATGGAGCTAAATAGACCAATGTTTTAGTAGGAATTTTAAGGCCTTACCTGGCCTATACAACTTATGACGTAACTAACCTAGATTTAGGTTTTCTTGCTCCAAAACCAAAGTAACATAACCTCATTTATAATCATGATCCTAACTTCATTTTATCTTACTTCCAGAGAATATATTGATTGGTTGAATCTATTGCAAGTATTCGAGTTAAAACTATGTATGTTAATCATTTCTTGTTACTTGACAATCGCCATTTTCTTTTGGTTTGAAAAAAGTCTCAAAACCAATGTGAATCGACCAGGACTCATGAAAATTATTGCTTTGTTTTTTACACAAGGATTAAAATCACATGATTTTCCATGTAATATTCGTGCTAATTGTTTAATTGCGATAATGTTCGTCATGTCAGTGCTGTATTCATCGCTTCTCTCTTCCGAGATTGTCGAAAAATTGATGACAGCCAGTTATGAAGCTGACATAAGGACGATTGAAGATCTGGCCAATTCAAAACTTCTGGTTGAATGGGCTAATCATCCGTATTGGCAGAGAGATTTTGAATCATTAACTGTAAATTATTTGAGGTTAGAAATGAATTAGTAATATTACAGCTATTAAAAATGTTTCCAGGATGCTATTGAAATTAAAGCTTTCTACGTTGGACTGATGAAACATAAATATTCCTACACAAAAGAAAGTAACAGTACATTATATGACAATTACCAAGTAGTAATTTATCATAAATGTAAAAATAATATGTACAGTTAATTATTTGCAGTATCGATATTATTGAACCAGAAAACCGGCGATTTTCTCTGTCTTTGTGAAGCCTATGGATGGTTTTTGAAATCATATTCGACGATTTCTCATAACAAGTGAAGTATATTTATTGCACATGCCGCTATTAAATCAGTTTATTCTTTGGTGGAAAAGTGGCGGTTTGCTTACAAAATGGGAGTGGGATACATACGCGACCGAAAACAAAATGGCGGATATACTAAAGTATCTGGATAATAAAATTCCACCGAAGGGACCAACCATATTGCTTTTGGAACACGTCCGGGGTGTTTTTCTGGTATGGATTATAGGAATTTCAATTGCGATATTATCATTCATCATAGAACTCTTATTATATAGATGTATTGTTTACACCACTTTGATTTAACTGTTACCATTATTTGTTATTATAACATTTATCAATTCTAGCAATTGTTCGTATTTCCAGCACATATTTTGCGATTAATACAAATTGGACAACACCACTATAATAATTAATGTAAAATCGCACAATCTTTCATTATTTTAATAATCCCTATTCCGGGACTCTTACTTGTATCATTCAGAGATGGCACTAGCATGAACTAAAAATCATATAACATAATTGTATTGTTTATTTCAATATTTATCGGCAAACGCGGATATTCGGCATGAGAATTGTGTTTGTTTTTAACACAATTTACTTTCTTATCACTTCCGCCGTGTGGAATGCAACGCATGAAATTCCCGAGTGTCGTCGTTGAAATCTCCTCGCGACGCATGCAGTAGATTCTAGTTTAGTCGGGATCGCGCAATTCGCAACAAGGTCGCATGCCATCGACGCGCTGGTCTTGCGCATCCCTTGCTTTCTTATCGTAAACTGCCGCGTCGTTGTTTGCTCTGCTACGACATGCGCTATCGATGGGTTTGCAGTCAGTTCCGCGCCGGTCGCTGGTTGATCCAGTCGAGTTTTGACCGACTCGTTTTGTTTGTTCAGACTTTTGCTTTCTAAATTTGCATTATATTCGTTCATCAATCGAGTATTTAATTGTAACTACTATAGTAATGTGATTTATTATTTGTGCGTTTAATGTCCATTATTGTAAAAAAGTGGTAGATGTTTGATCGCGGTTCGCTAAAGGAATTGGATATAGGATGGCCCCCATGTAGATTTATTGATCATTATTCTTGTGTAAGTAACTTTTAATTCAACAACACATGTTGTATTTCTTCTATGATGTATGAATATTTTATTTCTAAATCTTATGAAATATTTTCCCTGTTTTTCTTTTAATTACAGCACTTGCTGTCACCTGGTGAATGATGCGCATAACAATTCGTAAGTTTACAATTCAATCATATTTTTAATTCTAATTTCGCGACAAATTATTATTTCTGCACCTTTTCTTATCTGTATACAGATCACTGGTTGAGTAGGTTATTTTTGGTTGTAACATGAATTGTCATGTATTTATCATTTATTTATTATTATAATATTATACCGCAAGCGGCCATATCGTCTCAATATGCAATGTGACAATACCTATGGCGATTTTGCATGCAAAATTTCCCTAAACTAGTTTTCTAGTCGCATTCCTTTAGTTGGCCATCCTGCATGCGACCTTGTTTGTTGCATATAGTGCGCGTTTTATTGCGTCGTGCGCGCAGGATTATCGCGTGTGTTGGGCGCCGTTGCAGATTGTGCTGCGAGGTGTTCTCAGCGCAGTTTTGTGCCGGTCGTTGGTTGGGTAGGGCGTGTTTTTCGGGGCTGTTATCATTTAACACAATTTACTCACTTCCGCCGTGTAGATGCAACGCATGAAATTCCCGAGTGTCGTCGTTGAAATCTCCTCGCGACGCATGCAGTAGATTCTAGTTTAGTCGGGATTGCGCAATTTGCAACAAGGTCGCATGCCATCGACGCGCTGGTCTTGCGCACCCCTTGCTTTCTTATCGTAAACTGCCGCGTCGTTGTTTGCTCTGCTACGACATGCGCTATCGATGGGTTTGCAGTCAGTTCCGCGCCGGTCGCTGGTTGGTCCAGGCGTGTTTTGACCGACTCGTATTGTTTGTTCGGACTTCGTGGTTCGGACTTTTGCTTTCTAAATTTGCATTATACTCGTTCATCAATCGAGTATTTAATTGTAACTACTATAGTAATGTAATTTATTATTTGCGCGTTTAATGTACATTTATTATAAAAGAGGTGGTAGATGTTTGATCACTTTGTTTCGATGTGCATACTAGGGCTGTACAATTTTAGCCGGCTAAGCCGGTTAAAAAGTTAACACAACGATAGCTGGCTGACTACTTTCAGCCAGCCGGTTAACCGAAATTAGCCAGGCTGATAAACTAAAGGAAGCTAAACCGGCCAATTGGCTAATTTTATATTTTATACAATATCTTTGCTTCCAAGTATTGATAGGAAAATTCACGACTAAAAGGAAATTTAATACAAAGTAATTAGCCAGGTACTATGCAAGTGAGGTTCAGTGTCGGTCGCTAAATGAATTGGATATAGGACGGGCCCCATGTAGATTTATTGATCATTATCCCTGCGTAAGTAACTTTTAATTTAACAATACATGTTGTATTTCTTCTATGATGTATGAATATTTTATTCTTAAATCTTATGAAATATTTCAACTTTTTTTCTTTTAATTACAGCACTTGCTGTGCCCTGGTGAATGATGTGCATAACAATTCGTAAGTTTACAATTCAATCATATTTTTAATTCTAATTTCGCGACAAATTATTATTTCTGCACCTTTTCTTGTCTGTATACAGATCACTGGTTGTGTAGGTTATTTTTGGTTTTAACATGAATTGTCATGTATTTATTATTTATTTATTATTATAAACAAAATTTATGTGCATTTAATTCGTATTGGGTAAATGGTTCCAATAGGCGTATATGCCAATATTTATGGTATATTTTTGATTTTGTATTATAATACATTTAGTACCGTCGCAAGCGGCCATATCGTTACAATATGCAATGTGACAATACCTATGGCGATTTTGCATGCGAAATTTCCCTAAACTAGTTTTCCAGTCGCATTCCTTAGGATTTGGCCCATCCCTGCATACGACCTTGTTTGTTACGTAGTGCGCGTTTTATTGCGCGTTGTGCGCGCAGGGATTATCGCGTGTGTTGTTGGGCGCCGTTGCGGGTGTGCTGCGAGGTGTTCTCAGCTGATTTTGTGCCGGTCGTTGGTTGGGTAGGGCGTGTTTTTCGGGGCTGTTATCATTTTATTTGGAGTTTGTAAATCAGTAAATCGCGTTCATTTCGATAGTCCATCGACTGAATTTAGTTAGTAGTGACGCGTCTAGTGTTTATTATTAGATAATCAGGTGTCGAATATACAAAATCGGTAATTTTCTTTGCATTCATTGTGCGTGTTGCAAGATGCGTGCTATCAACTTGTTTACACTGCACGTTCGCGAGATACAGATTACATGCAACGTCTTGCAACTATCGTTGTGATATTATTTGGGCAATGGATTGGAACATGGACAATCTTCTTCGGGATAACCAAGAAAGAACGGTACAGTGCAAACTTTTTAAAAATCTTAATACACATATTTGTACACGCATTGTTCTACAAGTTTTACGCGTATGACGTGCAGTTAAGTCTTTGCTTGGGCCGGAATGGATCGACAGATCTTGTTATTGTGGTGATCATGCTTATCTAACCGTGTCTAGTATTACTGTATTTAAATGTGACTTAATTTTAGTTCGTGGTGAATTTTGCGCCAAATTTTTGGCCATGATCATTTCGTATTATAATACATTTGCATAAATTTAGTACCGTCGCAAGCGGCCATATAGTTTCAATATGCAATGTGACAATACCTATGGCGTATTTTCGTCGATTGCTTATCAGTATTTGTGTCTAAATAAGATTTCGAGTCGCATTTATATCATATTTTACACTTCGCAGGGAAGTTTTATTGCTTGTTTTGTCTACCTTATTAAATTCTCAAATTGACTTATATTTGTTTGTTACGGAAATTCGACGCACCAACTGGCGAAATTAGCATAAAAAGAGGGATTTTTTCACCTTTGCACCGTGAAATGTTGCAGGGTTTTCGGGGTTTGCACATAATCTTATCGGCTCAATAACTTCAGTGCGGTGTCAAAATGCGGAATTTAATTCTTCGTCGGGTTGTATTTGTTCGTTACACGATTTCGGCCTGCAACCCGCGATATACATAAAGTGGGTGATTTTTTCACCCTTCTTCATGAAAATGTTTGTGTTTTTGGGGTTTTGCACGTGATCTTGTTGGCTTAATAACTTCAAAATGGCGGCCAAAGTTTGCCCATTTTCTTGCATTTTTCAAAACTACGTGGCGGAAAACAGACCATATCTCGGTGACTCTTGATCATATTTTAGTTTTTAAATTTAATATGGGACAAGTGTGCGTTTTTATGATGCACCCTGAACTCCCGCGAAATTCGGTGTAGTAACTTTGCCAAGGAAAATGGCCGCTAAAGTTTGCCGCTTTTCTTGCATTTTTCAAAACGCGCGATGGAAAACAGGCCATATTTCGAGAACCCTTTGTCATATTTTTAGTTTTTATTTAATAATATGGGACAGAGTGCGTTTTTTAAGATGCACCCCTGTGTACCCTCGCGAAATTCGGTCGTAACTGCCTCCAAATTAGCCGCTAAAATTTGCGAATTTTCTTGCATATTTCAAAATACGCGATGGAAAACAGGCCGCTATCATAAGGAACCCATTGTCAAATTTTAGTTTGTTCTTTATTTAACAATGGGACAAGTGTGCATTTTTAAGATGCACCCTGTATTCCTACGAAATTTTGTCGTTACTACCTCAAAATGGCCGCCAAAGTTTGCCCTTTTATTGCATTTTCAAAACGCAGTGGAAAACAGGCCATATCTCACCGGACCACTTTGTCATATTTGGTTTTTATTTAATAATGGGACAGGAGTGCGGGTTTTGAAATGCACCCTTGAAGCCCCGCGAAATTCGATCGTAACTTTCTTTAAAATGGACGTCAAAGTTTGCCCTTTTCTTGCATTTTCAGAAACACGCGATGGAAACGGGCCTTATCTCGGTGACCCTTGGTCATATTTTGGATTTTCTTTATTTAATAAGAGGACTAGAATGCATTTTTAGATGCATCCCTGAACTCCGCAGAAATTCTGTCATAACTGCTTCAAATGGCCGCCAAAATTTGCCGCTTGCTGCATTTTCAAAACGCGCGATGGAAAACAGGCCATATCTCCCGGTGACCCTTTGTCATATTTTAGTTTTCTTTATTTGTGATAGGACAAAGTGGGCATTTTAATATGAACCCCTGAACCCCGAAATTCGGTCGTATCTGCCACAAAATAGCCGCCAAGTTTGCCCTTTATTGCATTTTAAAACACGCGATGGAAAGCAGGCCATATCTCGGTTACCACTTTGTCATGGCTTTTAGTTTTTTATTTAATAACAGGACAAGAATGTGTTTTTAAAATGCACCCCTGAACCCTCGCAAAATTTGGTCATAACTGCCTCAAAATGGCCGCCAAAGTTTGCCCTTTTCTTGCATTTTTCAAAACACGCGGTGGAAAACAGGCCATATCTTGGGAACCCTTTGTCATATTTTAGTTTTTTCTTTATTTAATTGTGGGACAAGTGCGCATTTTAAGATGCACCCCTGAACCTCCACGAAATTTGGTCGTATCTGCCTCAAAATGGCGGGCCAAGGTTTGCCTTTTTTTTGCATTTTTCAAAACACGTGATGGAAAACAGGCCAAATCTCGGGAACCCTTTGTCATATTTTAGTTTTTTCTTTATTTAATGATATGACAAGGGTGAATTTTTAAGATGCACCCCTGAACCCCAGCGAAATTTGGTCGTAACTGCCTCAAAATGGCCGCCAAAGTTTGCCCTTTTCTTGCATTTTTCAAAACACGCGGTGGAAAACAGGACATATCTCGGGAACCCTTCGTTGTATATAGGATCCATGTGATTTTTGCCGAATGATTTGAAATTTTGCACACAGAATTTCACTATTGCTTATCTGTGTAACAAGTTTTTTAGTCGCATTCCCCGCGTTTGCCTATCCTGCATACCCACCTTGTTTGTTGCAAATATTGCGCATTGCATTGCGGCGTGCGTGCAGTACTATCGCGTGTTGACGTGTGCTGCAGGTTTTGTGTCGGTCGTTGGTTAGGTCGGACAAACATATGGCAAATGACCATGTCGGATTACAAGGTGTGCCGGATTAAGCCGTGAACGGATTATCGGGATTCCACTGTATTGTTATTGTTCTGAACATGTCGTGAACTAATCGTGTATAATATTACTGTATTTAAATGTGATTTAATTTTAGGTCTTGGTGAATTCTGCGCCAAATATTTGCCCGAGGATCAACTCTTGGCTACCTGAAGTGGCGTCCGTCTTGTCCGTGTTCCAGCGACTTTCGTGCACCGCGGGAAAGAAAGGTAAAGTGTACTTTTTCATTGTGTTTGTTTACTGCAATTCCATTTAATTCATACGCTGTCATTAATTAAAAATATATTTATTTATTAAAAATTATACGAAATTTTGTGGATTTACATTTATATTTTTGAGTTTTACATGTTTCGCTCTGAGGGCATCTTCAGTAACAGTTTCAGATACTGATCAGCAAAAATAACCACCAATCGAAACTCAATAAATTCAACGTGGCGTCTAGGGATGCAGAATTAATTTCTCCTTCGGGTGGTATTTGCTTGTTGCAGGAATTCGACCTGCAACCCGCGAAAATTTGCATAAAAGCGCGATTTCTTCACCCTTTTCTCGTGATATGTTGGTATTTTTTCGTGTTTGCACGCGATCTTAGCGGGTCAATAAATTAAACTTGACGTCTAGAGTATGCGGAATTAAATTGTCGGGTGTATTTGTTTGTTGCAGTAATTTTGACCTGTTCGAAGGACCACACTTTTGCTTGTTTTAGATTTTTAACTGAGTCTGATACATCGTAGAAGGTCCATTCTGGTATCAGATTATAAGTACTAATTCTTTTATCATTTTCCTAAATAAATATTGTGATTATCGTACAAAATTGATTCCCAAAATTGCATTTTTATGTTCGAAGGACTAATTTTTGATGGTTTTGGGGATTTTGCACCTGAGTCTGACATCGTAGAAGGACCATTCTGGTACGAGAATATAAGTAATTAATTCCTTTATCATTTTCCTAAATAACTTTTGTGATTATCGTATAAATTGCTACCCAAAATTGCATTTTTATGTTCGAAGGACTAATTTTTGATGGTTTTTGGGATTTTGCACCTGATTCTGACATCGTAGAAGGACCATTCTTGTATCAGATTGTAAGTATTAAATTTCTTTATCAATTTCAATAACTTTTGTGATTATCTCACATATTGACCCCTCAAAAATTGCATTTTTATGTTCGAAGGACTTTACTTTTGATGGTTTTAGATTTTGCACCTGAGTTCGACACATCATAGAAGGCTGACCATTCTTGTATCAGATTATAAGTATTAAATTTCTTATCATTTTCCTCTAAATAACTTTTATGTAGGATTATCCACAAATAAAACCTCCCTTTAAATTGCATTTTTATGTTCGAAAGACTAATTTTTATTTGTTTTAGGATTTTGCACCTGAGTTCGACATCGTAGAAGCACCTTTCTGCATCAGATTGTAAGTATTTAATTTCTTTATCATCTTTCCTAAATAACTTTTGTGATTATCTCACAAATTAACCTCTTTAAAATTGCATTTTTATGTTCGAAAGACTAATTTTGCTTGTTTTAGAGATTTTGCACCTGAGTCTGACATCGTAGGTCCATTCTTGCATCAGATTGTAAGTAATTTCCTTTATCATTTTCCTCTAAAATAACTTTTTGTGATTATCTCACAAATTGGACCCCAAAAATTGAATTTTTATGTTCGAAGGACTAATTTTTGCTTGTTTTAGGATTTTGCACCTGAGTCTGACATCGTAGAAGAACCATTCTGCATCAGATTGTTATTATTAAATTTCATTATCTTTAATAACTTTTGTGATTATTACACAAAATTGACTCCCAAAATGTATGCCTGTGTGTTTTCTTTTTTAATAAAGAATATTTTAAAGTTTTTCTAAATTATAATTTATTTCTGTTGCTCTACCCGATCACATATTCATATTTAACGATCCCTCAAACTATTTATTTTGGAAAGTGCATGCTAGCGCCATCTATCAATTAGAAACTACAAACAACCGAAAGTTTGAGCTTCGGTCCGTCGCCACCAGAGGGCAGCATTATTATTAGTTACCGCGAAATTTTATCAGTTCCTCAACTTTCTGCTCTCCCAATATTCAATCTTTATTTTGTCGACTCTGTAGGCAAAATGACACAAAATTTGGACTCCGAAACAGTCGAAACTCAGGTTTTGGTATTTGATCGCAGAAAGTGTAAGGAGGCTGGATATAGTTTTCGCGGTAACTAATGACGGGTAAAAATAATGTTTAAAAATCTTTTCAGCAAGTGTACTTCAGTATAGGTGGAATTTTTAAATTTTGTTTTCGATTCTGTAAGCTAAAATTCTATATCGACTATTTATGTAATTATTTTCTTAACATTGACTGTTTAGGCTGTATTGGCAGTTTTAATTAAAAATTGTATTTTACATGCCAATCGGTCCTTAATCTATAAGTGTGTTACTAGTTTCCGATTCTGAATTTAATCTACTTTCAGAACTGAAAGCAGAATTTAAAAATTTTAATTATTACAGAACCTGCATTTGCTGAAAAGATTTCGTCATAAAAAGGCAAAATATTTTTCTTTTTTATGTCGAACGCTGTTTTCATTAAAATTGCAAAATAGGGTCAAAACGGTTAGCATAAATAAAAGTTAATAAAATAATCGATGTAGAATTAAATTATCAATCATAATCTGAAAATAGAATTTGGGGACTTAACTTCTTTTAATTTTCAATATAATAGAATTTTTGCTCTTTTTTATAATACCGTAACGAGTTTTTAAAAATTTTTGTGCCATTTTGTGGTTTTTCGACACGATGCTATCTTATCTAGAATTTTATGATCACAGGGGTCATTTATTCTTAGTCTCCTTTGTTGTCGAGATAATAACATTTAATCATCATAAATTAGCTATCTCTGACAAACCAAAAGTACAGGAATAAAAAGAACTACATATTCTTGATCCTGAGGAATTTTAGACAGATGGCATATTTTTCTCAAAATGAAGAACAAGTACCGTAAAAAATTTTTTAAGAAAAGATTTTGTTATAAAAAAGGCAAAAAGATTTCTTTTTATGTAGAAAATTAAAGTTGGAATTTTGAAATTTGAGGCTGCTGATACATACCCTAATTCTACATCGATTATTTTTGTAAAGTTTTTGCTATCATTAACCGTTTAGCCCTATTTGCAAATATAATAAAACACGTGTATCCCTGTCGGAATAGTTCAATTTATGAAAATTAAAATGGTACTATCCTTCGACAACCAGAAGTTGGCTAGAAAAAAAAGAACTACATATTCTGATCCTTGAAGAATTCTGGACAAGATGGCATCCTTATTGAAAAACAACAAAAAATGGTACAAAAAATTTTGTCGAGAACAAAGGAATTATACCCAAAATTCTTTTGGAATATTAGGGATCGCAGAAAGTGCAGCAGTAGGCTGAATCTCCAGCAATCTTGAATAGCGGCGTAGTTTAGTTACCGTGGATAGATGACACTAGTGATACCGTTTTTGAATTAATATTGATACAATATAAAAACACTTGAACTATTTTCCATATTTAGCAGTGGCATTTCCAATAAAGTTTATGATTTATGGATTAAATAAAGGAGTAACGATGTTGCGCGCTCAGTTCTCCGTTTTGGAAACAAATAAAACGATAAAAATTTATAGTCAAAAATATAAACTACCTTTTATTCAAACATGTAGAATATACACAATCAATTAAACTCAATCTCTAATGTATACAGCATTTTCAACAATACAAGCAAGAAAAAACAAGACATAATAATATGCAATTATATAATTTTTATAACTTTAACAAAATAAACAAAAAATGATAACAATAACAGCTTCAAGATGTTTGTAAATTCAGTCAATCGTGTTTGGAATCATCATCAGCACCTGGTATCTTCAATTTCTTGTACACTATAAACCAGGATGAATAACAGAATAGTAAAATATAAAATATTATAAATTGCCAAAATATAACATACGTTCTTGGAACTTAAGTCCAGTTGGAACACGTATCATGCTATTAATTAAAACATAATCCTCAATACGGACTCACTCCACAGTACCACGGAACCTCTCCAGTTGGTCCTATTGATTAACTGACCATCTCAGGATTAGCCAATGAATCATCCAACAACTGGAAAATATTTATGTAAATAAGTATACATATACATAGAATTAAATTAGTATTCTTACAGGATCCATAAAATTTCCATTTAGGGCACCGTGCGAGTAGCGGTAGAAGTGACTCCCCATTCCAAGGCACCGTACAATTTAGTGCAAGAGCAGCGTACGACGCCTTGTTCGCCGGCTAAAACAAAAAACCACAAAATTAGAAGACCAAAAAAAAAAGCATTTTTGCCCAGAGCTTCCCCGACAGCTAAGCCACAATATATATAATTTATATTATAAAAGAATTTAAATATCTATTATTTTGCTAAAAAGAACAGTTTGATGTCCTACAGCATGGCGTTCGCCCGCTAAACACTAAAACCAAAAAATTCGACGACCAAAAAAAGAAACACAAATAGGGCATTTTGTAGGTTTCCCCGAAGGATAAACCACAAATTATGTATAGAAATTATAAATAATTTAAATATCTATAATTTGGTGAGAATGGTTTGTCCTATGACGCGGATTCGCCCGCTAAACACTAAAAACCACAAAATTGAACAACCGAAAAGAGGAATAAAAGAGCATTTTGTAGGTTTTTCCCCAGGGATAAACCCACATATTATACATGAAAATTAAAAAGAGGAATTTAGTATCTATAATTTGGTGAGAGAACAGTTTGGTCCCGACGCGTTTCCAGAGCTAAATACTAAAAAATCTAAAATTAGCCGACCAAAACATAAAAAGGGCATTTTTTGGGTTTCCCGAGGATAAACCCACAAATTATATATAGGGAACGTAATGAATTTAAATATCCTATAATTTAGTGAAAGGAGCAGTTTACGTCCTACGACATGGCGTTTAAACCCGCTTTAAATACTAAAAACCACAAAATTGCCGATCAAAAAGAGCATAAAAGCGCATTTTTATAAGTTTTCCCGTTGGATAAGCCCATATTATACATAAAATTATAAAATTTTGAATATCTATAATTTTGGCAGAACGGTTATCTACCACGATATGGCGTTCGCCCGCTAAACACCTAAAACCACAAAATTGAGTCGACCGAAAGAAAAACACAAAAGGAATTTTGTAGGTTTCCAGAGTTAAACCACAAATTATATATGAAAATTATAAAATTTGAATATCTATAATTTGGTGAAGAAACGAGTTTATCCTACGACATGGCGTTCGCCCGCTAAATACTGAAGCCACAGGTAGCAGAGCCAGAAAGAAGACACAAAAATATGGCATTTTCATAGGTTTCTCGGATAAACCCACAAATTATACATAGAAATTATAAAGGAAATTGGAATATCTATAATTTTGGTGAAAAACGGTGATCCTACGACATGGCGTACATCAGCTAAATACTAAAAACAACAAAATTAGCCAGCCGAAAACACAAAAGGGCATTTCTAGAGAGAAGTTTCCCGAGGGATAAACTCACAAATTATACATAGAAAATTATAAAAATTTGAATATCTATAATTTGGTAAAAAGCAGTTATCCTACGACATGGCGTTTACCGCCCGCTAAACACTGAAGCCACAAATTAGCCGACCGAAGTCCACAAAATGGCATTTTCGTAGGTTTCCCGAGGGATAAACCACAAATTATACATGAAAATTATAAAAAAGAAATTGAATATCTATAATTTCGTGAAAAACGGTGATCCTACGACGCAAGCGTACATCAGCTAAATACTAAAAGAGCTTCAAATTAACCGACTGAAAACACAAAAAGGAGGCATTTTCTGCAGGTTTCCCGAGGGGATAAACTCACAAACTATACCTAGGGAATTTATAAAAATTTGAATATCTATAATATGGTGAAAGAACGGTTATCCTACGACGTGGCGTTCGCCCGCGCTAAACACCTAAAAACCACAAAAATTATGCGACCAGAAAACACAAAAGGGGCATTTTGTAGGTTTCCCGATAGTTAACCACAAGTTATATATAGAAAGGGTATAAAAAAGAAATTTTAATATCTATAATTTGTTAAAAGGAATGGATTTTGTCCCTTTCACGATATCGCGTTCGCCCGCTAAACACTGAAACCCTTAAAACTAGCCGACGAAAGACACAAACTATAGCATTTCCAAAAGGTTTTGAGGGATAAACCCACAAATTATACATAGAAAATTATAAAAATTTGAATGTC